TCTCTTATGACAGTTGTACATTATGACATTTTATTCCAGGTGCCACACAGGTTGTTAAATTTCCAGCTCATCCAGGGAGTGGAGGTGTGTGTCCTGTGTGGTCCCACACCCTCCCTCACTGAAGTGGAGACAGAGGTAAACACAGTTGGACTTTTTAAAAAACACAAAGAATTTAGAAAATCTTGAATATTTTCTAAATTTGTCCCAAAATTTACAGTAATGTTTTGTGTGTGAATTGATAGGAGATTGTTCCCTATATGTTATAGCAAATCTCACACTTTCTTTGTCTTTGTCTGAATTCATTGTTATGTTATGCTTTTGTTCTGATTCCTGAAACTGTTCATTTCTATCTTTTCCAGTTGCTTGACAGATACTGGAGACCAGCCATGGAGCCTTTGAGAGCATGTCTCAGAATACATCTGAGAGGGTTTCCCAGTAATATCACTGTACATATAGGAGTCTTAGGGTGAGAACCATCTGCAGTCTTTTTCAGTTACAAACATTGTATGCTGTAGATCATGGTTCACTTTTCTTCAGTATTTTAATTATTATGTTTATGATATCATAATTATGTATCTTTAACAGACACAAATTGATGTACCAAATGTTTGCAAACTTTCTTTGTTTACTGTATTGTTTCTTGTAATGACAGGTTGATTATTATGAATGTGGAGCTTCACAAGTGTTTGGGTACTGTCCATCCCTTATCTTCAGAAGAAAGCCAAAAGCAAGGTATGTCAGTTCATAGCAATTCCAGAGTATATCTGCATGAGCACTGCAGAACAAGCTAAAATCTGAGTTAAAAAAGTTAAAATCTGAATGTGTTTTTACTGTGCCAAGGATGCAATATTTTTACAAGAAATGTCTGTTTGGTCAGTTTGTTCAACTGCAGAAATAATACAGATTGCTAGATTTTCATGCTTTTTAAAGACCTTGGCCAGAGGCCACACCAATTTAATTTCTTGGTGAACGGATTTTTCTAGAAAAATAATGGAGCGGGCAGGCGAAAAAAATAAGAAATAAAAACAGGCCTAGGCATCCTATTAAAGCCCAAAATGGTACGATAGGACCCATTAAGTCAACTGTACCAGGCTGGTTCAAATTTAAACAATGAATTTTGAACTTTTGATGATACCACTGCATTGAAAGATGGAATAACTGTAACAACTAGAAAGAAAAGGACTGTTTTCAACTGTTCAGGGCAAAATATGAGCATTTTGCAGTTGATTCTGAATTTTTATTTTTATTTGCAAATCAGAAAAAAATGAAGCGGGCGAATCCGTTAACCAAGAAATTAAATTGGTGTGGCCTGAGGATTAAATAAATTTTTCAAAACCTTCTTTAGTCTTTTAAGTCTTCAGAACAATGGAAAAAAAAACTCAGAACCTGTGTTGTTTTCTTTTTCAGGAAAGAGCCTGAGCATAGCCAGAAGAAGAGACATCCTCCGTTCCTTCTACCAGTCAGTGACAGGGACAGTGTTTCCTCCCACACCAGGGACAACACCACCTGAAGTAGTGGAGAATGGCCACGGGGATGGTAAGCTAAGAATGATATGAAAATGAAGGTTGGACATTAGAAAGTAGAATAGTGAATAGTTTCATTAGGTTGGTAAGACACTGAGTAAAGAGACTTTTTTTAACCCAACCAAGACTTAGTCTTTTATTCAGACGTTTTGGGGACCCACTGTCACCTTCCTCAGGGCAATTCTGACTGGTTCACATTGCAGTGCAGCTAAGGCATCGCTGCTAAAGATGCATTCATAAGTGTACACTGTAACCACGCATATGTGTAGATATGTAACTATAACATTTGTGAATGCATCTATAGCAGCGACACCTGTGCTGCAATGTAATGTGACCCAGTTAGAATTGCCCTGAGGAAGGGTACAGATGGTGAAAAATAGCGGTTGCTATATGGAATGTTTGTCTCCTTCACAGAATTTATATAGCTGCTAAAATTACGCAGGGTGAGATAAGAACTTGTAGCTGATCTTGTCTACCTTTACCAACAAGTTCTGTATGTCTTTTGTAAAGATCCTTGGTGTGTTTACTATAGGTTTGGCTTCAGAATCTCCAGTCGAACCCCACACAGAGTTTGTACATTCAGCCCTGGACACATATGTGATCGGGGAGGACCACAAGTGTTATGCCACAAGAGAGGGACCTTACCAGATCTATGTGCTGTTCTCCAAAGATGTGCCAAAATATGCTCTCAGGTCAGTCACTTACACATATTTGTTGTTTGTTTTCATCTAGTAGTTGTTTGTTTTCCTCTACTAACTCATCAGATCATGGCATACAACCATGTAAAGTTGAAGCAAGAAACACTATTAGTACATGTGTTACGAAAACATGTTGTAGAACAACAGAAGAAAAATTACTGACCATGTAAAAAGATGCAAAAATTACTGCCATGCATGTCTGTGCAATGCATGTATTTTTACATGCATCACCCAAAGCAGTTTTCTTGTACTGGCCAGGAACATAGATATTCTAGACAGTATATAAAGACAAAACCTTCATTAATGTAATTTTTACCTCTGGGGGAGGAGACATCTTTCCGCAGAAGGGTTTTGTGAGAGATTTAGATTTTCATGTTCGCAGCTGTTTCTCGCGTTTGGGTGGACGGATTCTTTTGAGACTCGGTATATGTTTTGCTATTGGGCTGCAGATAATGCACGTTCATTTGTTTTTATTGTATATGTGTTTTCGGGCGTGAAAATGGTGCCTTTTGGTGGCCCCAGAACACCCCTTTGAGTGTGAAATTGGTCGTGACCGTTGACCTTTGGCGTGAATTAGGTATTGTCCGTCTCGTCCACGAAGGTGACCCCTCGTTCTTTTTTTCAGATCAATATCCATGACAACATTATCAGCCCTCACGAAGGACAAGTTGTTCTAGTTGGAGAACCTTTGTGAGGGCGATAGAATACAACGTACTACTTCAAAGGCAGCTAATATGTATTCTTGTCTAATCGTGACCAATCGTATACATGCACATGTAATCTGAAATAATCTATGGAAGATGCTGACATCCTTCTTCAAGTCCCATCCGGCTCTGGGTAGATCAGTTGAGGTAAGATTTGACTTTGTGTCAAGGTTTCTTTGGTAATTAAATGTAACCTTCCCCCTGCTGCCTAACCCTGTAGCCAATACAAACTTAGGCCACACCAATTTAATTTGTTGGTTCTCGGATTCGCCTCTTCGTTTTTTTTCTGATTTGCAAAAAAAAAAAAAAAAAATTTGATTCTGGTCCTGAATCAACTCAAAAATGCTCATGTTTTGCCCCCAACAGTTGAAAGTCCTTTTCTTCCTAGTTGTTACAGTTTTCCTATCTATCATTGCAGTGGTTTGATTAAAAGTTCAAAATTCAATGTTTAAATTTTAACCCAGCCTTTTGTGTTGACTTCATGGCTCATTCCATAGCATTTAAGCCTATAATAGGATGCCTAGACCTGTTTTTATTTTTATTTTTTTTTGCCCTGTTGCTTCATATTTTTTCTGAAAAAATCCGAGAACCAACAAATTAAATTGGTGTGGCCTTACTGCCATAACTTTCATACAGCTGCAGGGTTAACGTTAAAAAAAACAGTAAATGATGCTTGTTATGAAACTGTCTTCTGGATTAGCCTTGTTTAGTGAATTAGTTGCAAAATGTTTTGAAGTACATATGTGACACTGTACATGACTTTATATTTCCATAATGTGTATGTTTGAACCACTGTTTTGCAGAAAGGATACATGTACATTTCTTTATCTCTAACTAGTGTAAGAATCACAGACCAGTATTGTATTTGATATATTCAAGCTTTTGATAAATGCACAATTGACAGGTAGATTTAAGGCCATTGTACACATGCGTTATTGTTAATATGAAATAATTTTGTTGCCAGTATGTTTCTTACTGCTATTTTATTTTTTGTTCCAGGTTTCTACCAAAGCACAACCCAGTCAAGTTACATAACTGCAACAGTTTTCAAAGCAGATGTTAATATCCTATCAGAAACAACACCATCATTATCCAGTAGTTTTGATACCAGTAGTCGAATGGACCAGTTGTATTAAATTTGCTTGGCCACTGCAAAGCCAAAAAGCCCTGCTTTTTGTTACTGAATAATCTTTTGGGGCTAAGAAAATGATTATTCTGTTGTAAAATTAAGCCATAAGACTGTATTGGATTTAATTCTAGTCAAGCTACAATATCCTTTACATTCTACAGTAACTGTTACCTCAAAATCTTGTTTTTGTTTTTTCTTGTACTATGTTAATTCCTACATTTTCCTATTGAATCTCTTGGCATTCATATTTCCGGAGGTACATATATGTTATTGTTGAGATACTTTCTGTTTTATATACGTGTAGATGAATTATTTATATTCTATACTTCTCATGTATCTGACAATCAGCAAAATTCTCGGTCAGAAATTGTTTGTTATAAACACAAATTGTTGTCAAGGTCAAATGACAAGTGTGCAAAATTAGATAAAAGTGAGTTATTCCTTTTCTCTTGTGTCTCATTTATTGTGTTCATTTTAGAAAAGGGATGCCTTCATTCATAAACCTGTGACTACAGAGTGTCGAACAGATGACTGTACATATTCATGGATACAAATATATATATCATATACATATATACATCATGTACACATGTTTATACCAGCCATTACACATATACCTTGTACACATACAGAGACAGTAAAAAAAAATCCGAATTTCCTTACATTTCCTTTTTTTCACAAGGAGGGCAATACTCATTCCACTGCTCAACCTATTGTGAAAACATTTTGACATAATATGTATTTTTCACCTTTTGTATTGTATTCAATATGTTCACAAGTCAAACTCGTCAGGCATAGTTTTAGATATAGCCATAGTTTTAGACAACTACCTTAAACTATGTCGATTTTTAAGTTATTTTATACTCCGTTTTAAAGTTCTTTTAAGTTCATAACTTGCAATAAGCCTTCGGGTATATAGATTTGCAATAAATTTCTCTAATTAATGTGAAACACCCCTATATGGAATAGTGGACTATTCCATGTTTGACCTTTGACCCAATCAGTCGCCAACATGGCAGGATCTGAACTTGCGGCAACTCTTTCCGACTCCAACATGTCCGAATCGGCTCCTTTCGTGATCAAAACCGTCGAGATGCACACAGGCGGCGAGCCACTGCGAATCATCACCGGCGGGTACCCCAAAATCGAGGGGAAAACCATCCTGGAGAAGCGGGCTTACGTACGGGACCACCTCGACGTGTTTCGGCAGAGGTTGATGTGGGAGCCGAGGGGCCATTTCGACATGTACGGTGCTCTTCTCGTAGAGCCAGACGAGGAAAGCGCCGACATCGGCGTGCTTTTCATGCACAACGAGGGCTACAGCACCATGTGCGGGCACGCGTGTATAGGGCTGGGGCGATATGCGGTAGACAAGGGGATAGTTCCCGCGAAAAGCCCGCAGACCGAGCTGGTTATCCAGTGCCCGACCGGCCCGGTGAAAGTCTGGGTGGACTACCAGGACGGAAAAAGTGGGCGTGTCCGGTAAGGCTTTGTTCTTGTTCCTTCGTGAAGCTTAATAAACTTGACTTCTATTTTATAGACTTAAAACTGAGAGCTAGTCCAACATATAAATAGTATAAAGCCTCATTCATTAGCAATCCATCCATTCATTCATATATAATTACTTACAGCTGATTACTTATGACTTTTTTGTTAATTATCAGATTTCTCCGATCAAATTGATTGGAGTTCAGGGCGCTAAAGAGCCCGGCTGAGAGACCAAGAATATTTTTCCTGCCGGTATTTTTCGTCAGTAAACTTTCCCTCTCGTTAATTTTTATACTTAAGAATTGAATTTACTTTTATTTACAGGTTCCACAGTGTCCCAGCGTTTGTCTTCGCACTCGACCAAGAAGTTGACGTGCCAAACTACGGACGCGTGAAGGTAGACATCGCGTACGGCGGTGCGTTCTACGCCTTTCTCCCCGACAGCTCTCTCGGGTTAGATCTCCGCACAGCTCCGGCTGAAGCTGTGAAAACCGCGGCCACTGCAGTCACGGAGGCCGTGAAGAAGGCCGTGCCGTTACGCCACCCGGGACACCCGGATCTGGCGTTCCTGTACGGGACGATTGTCACAGATGGGCGGGACGAGTACGCCCCTACGCCAACGGTCAACACCTGCGTGTTCGGTGACGCCGCCGTGGACAGGTCTCCCACGGGCTCTGGCGTCACGGCAAGAGTTGCCATACAGGTGGGTCAAAAGGGCAATTTGAAGTTGTTTTTTTTTTTGTAGTCCTTCGCTTTAAAAACTTACAAAAGCATTTCTTCTAAGGTTGAAGATTTTTTTTATTTTTAACAGCGAGTGTATCTTCAACTCCCTGTCTAAAATTCTTCATTTAGGTAGAATCTTCGGCATACATCTTTATATGATAAAAATGATGATTATTAAGTACTAGTGTTCATTTATGTTCGCGAGGAGTATTTGTCTCGTTAGGAAAGGTGTGAAGGCAAGATTTGCTATACAGGTGGGATACTAGTGATAGACAAAACCAATATTTGTAATTGTTGCTTTTCAGTCCTTTCAAAATTGAAGAAAGCATTTTTTTAAATCTAATCAGATTCAACTGATTTTAATTCTGATTCATTAATAACAGTACTGTTTTAAGTTCACGAAAAAAATACTAAAATGCAGTACGTTTACAGTGGTATTAGTACCTGTACTCTTGGCTACATTATGCATGCCTCTTACCGTGGGCATTGCACGGTCTTGTACACAATAGCTTGTCACTTTTGGTGCGTTTCGTCCAGCTTGGGCGTTATTCTTGTCCTGCTCATTTGCTGATTTCAAATGCAGAAGCACGGCAGGTCCTTGTTAGGGACCACAACTGAAAGATAAGGATCAAATAGCTTGTTTATTACACCTCGCTGTGGTAATTTAAGCCGGGCTTTCTAATGATAAATCGTAGTAAAAGGTGAGAAACATTAGTGGCTGTGTAAGGAGACATTCACTCGTTCAGTCCCGTAGCCGCAGGCCGTAGGCGCAGTCTGTCTGTCCACAAAGGGTTTTCACTCTGGCGTAATCTCCCAGCAGAATCATACGGTGGCAAGGCAGTATCCACTGTCATTGACCAGAGGAGTGGCTAATGGATACAGCCTGGCCAATTTGTCTTTTGCGGCCACCGAAAGATCTGCTTGAAGATTACCTCTGGCGATCGTCGGTTATTCCTAGCCTCTTTCGCAGTCTCGTTGGCCCGCGGCGTCGGCGTTATTTTTTTCTGTGAGCGACGCGAGTAATATGCCGCCGCGCCGCGAGGGACGATTTGCTGCCGAGGGAGTTTTTGCCACGGAGAGAAGGATTCGCGAATCATTCTCTCCGCGGCAAAATAAATTTAAAAAATATAATAACTTCAAAAAATAACGCCGACGCCCAATAAGCCTGCGAAGGAGGCTAGGTTATTCCGGTCCGAGTTAGACCGCCGTCTCTCCCGACAAAACCTTAATGTCGCCGAGCTATGCTCGGTGAGGCGATCCCTCGGCCTTCCCGTGACATATGTATATCTTTTTTTTTGTTCCAACATTTCGTGACTAGGCATAGTGACGGCACACTCAAGTTATATCAACTCATTTTATGCCGCCACCAACGCAGAGGACAAATACAGGGCAGAACAATACTCATTTCACTTGAGGACAGTCGTGTTAAGATGCGCCTTTCCGGTGGCATGTCAGGACTCGAACCCGGAACCTCTTGGTAACAAGTTGGTTCCGAGTCGAGCACTCCGCCGTGACACCTCACGACCCCACATATGTACGAAGAAAAGTTGTCATATCTAGCCTCCTTCGCAAACTTGTGAGGCGGCGGCGTTAATCTTATTCGGGGAGCGACGCGAGTTATGCCCCGACAAAACTCCCTCGGCAGCATAATTCGCGTCGCTCCCCGAAAAAAATAACGTCGCCGCCTCACAAGCCTGCGAAGTAGGCTATTAATGCCTATTTCATATCCTTGTTTTCTCCACAGCATCGCCGTGGGCAGATCGACCCGACCAGAGAGCGGCAGTTCGCGAGCGGCGCCACGGGCTCCGTGATGACCGGCCGGCCCGTCAGGGAGACCAAGTGGGGGGAGTTCGACGCCGTGATCGTGGAGGTGTCGGGAAATTCGTACTACATCGGAACAGCCGAGTTTACAGTCGAGTCGGACGACCCGCTGAAAAACGGCTTTCTTGTCAAGTGAATGTCAACGTATAATTTTGTTATATATGAATGAATGAATGAAGGCCATTATTTTACACATATACTCACTGGGTTAACTACAGGTTACAACAAAAGAGTATAATATACAGATAACGTTACATATATAGAATGTCATGAGTAACGTAACTTTTTAATGAATGGATGAATGTACACATATACCATCTTGGTTAAGTACAGGTCACAACAGAAGAATAGTACACGGATAACGTTATGCATATGTACATTGTCATTACTATTACATGGTTGTTTATGCACCCTTATACATCCATGTTTATAATATACAACCTTAATTACCACCAACTTTCCTAAAGCAAAATTTCTTCTCATTTTTATTTTATCACAAGACGACTGGGTTGGCCCCACAACTTGTAAAAGTTGATATCCAAGTTTTATTCCAGTTTCAATAATTTTGCTTAGCCGAGAAATGTGAGATAAGTTTTACATATCTGGGAGATGTTGCTTCTCATACTCATAGCCTGCTACCTCATGACATGAGTTGAAGATCCGTAAACATTAGAACAGGATCCTAAAACAGGATACTAAAAGTACTAGGAGGGGAATGCAATAACGTTCAGAGGTTAACGGACGACAGTGATCTAGTTTTTTTTTTTTTTAATAATTTCCAACGTGTAATCACAAGACGTGGTGACGGCACACTCAAGTTTTTCAAACTTATATTAATGCCGCCACCAACACGGGACAATACAATACTCATTTTCACCTGAGCGAAGTGAGGAAAGTCGTGTAAAGTGCCTTTCCTAAGGGCACAAGATCGGTGGCATGTCAGGACTCGAACCCGGGACCTCTAGGTTCCGAGTCGAGCACTCTGCCGCTACGTCACACGACCCCACGATCTAGTTTAATCTCCAAGCAGATCATGCGGTGGCAAGGCAGATCATGCGGTGTCCATTATTTAGCCACCGTACCCCCGTATGATCTGCTTGGAGATTAATTTGGTAGATTTATTGATCGCAAGACGGCAGGGTTTCTCACTGTAAACCGTTTGACTTTTCCCTTCTTCCGATGGAGTGAGACAGATAGATACATATTTCAATAGTCCAGCTTGTGACACAGTTACATTATGTATTTAATCAAGGTCTTCGTTTATATGCATACAAACACAACGGGCAACTGACTTCTCGTGGAGAATATCTGTTTGTTTTGTTTATTTATTCGCATATAATCAGGGAGAAGAACAATAAAATGAACATATTACAGTAAAAAAGCATATGCAGGGGAAAGATAGAGTCCATTCCGCTTCACCGAGTGGGTTGTTATTGTCATTATTTAGAAATGTTTTGAATTCTTTGTAATTGTTTGTCTAAGAAATTTCATTATTTGGAAATATTTTGAACATCTTGTCAATATTCTAAATAATTCCCTGGTTTTCTAAAACGTTATAAATATTCCTGATGTGGAATATGACATTTCCAATAGTTTCTAAATATTTCCAACAGCACTCTACCATTTTTACCATTATTTCGAATTATTTCTAACATTTTGTAAATAGGTCAGTGGGATGGGAAGGAAGTAATTCACACATCCCTGTGAAGTACAGGGTAGACTGCCTGGGTGTCAGGCATTGATGCCTTACAACAAAAGAGCCACCAGTGTCCAGCAGTGAAATCTAAAAATATACAGAAGAATACAGAAGAGTAGGATTAGCACCTACTTTTATGGGGGCAATTACCCACATCTACCATTTTTCATTTGTTTGAAATAGTTCTAAATATTTCGAATAGTGAAAGAAACAAATGGGTAGTTCAAATTTATTCTAAATAAAGAGATCTTTGTACAGTCACTTTCAAAATGTTTCAGAAATATATAAATGAATTCAAATATATTCAAATTTTCATTTTCAAATTTTTGAAAAATTTAGAACTTTTGTTACTAGGGTATTCTTTTCTTCTAAATAATTCAAACGTATTAGAAACATGGAGAAAAAACCCACTCGGTGACGCGGAATCGACTCTAAGAAGCCATAATGGCTTGTCCGTGATCTTCCCCCGACTAAATTTTAATTTAACTTTATTAACAGGTGGTTTCAAAGAATAAAAGATGTATTGTTTGTTATAGACCTTATATCTTTTCTTGCATTTGCTGTCCGGCTTGGTTGTCGCATTTTACGTAAGGGGTTTGCTCACTTTTCTTACCAGCCATTTGATTTTGTGACAAGTAGGTATTCGGTACAGCGTTCAAAACTTTGTCCTTCCCATAGGAGACTGCCAATACAGTTTGTCCGTATGGTGCGATTACATCGTCTTCTGAGGCTGGTATTTGAGTGTCTGGTATGACTCCATTCTGGTCTCTCGCTTGAGGCTGGTCTTCTATTGTCTCGTACGTATGATGTAGAAAGTCGACAGGGTTCTGTTGTACGTTTACAGTCCCAGTGTAATTCTGGTTTTGGATATTTTGCGGCGCGGTCTTTCTTAGCGACTGAAAGACGAAATAACAGAACGCCAAAACTGAAAGCGTCAGTAGAGTTGTGATGATTAGATCCAATAGATTGAACGAAGCCTTGTTAATCTCGTCGTTTTTCAGAATATAATATACTAGATGTCTGTTGTGGTCAATATCAGTCCCATTCACTGTTGATATAACTAAGTTAGAGAACGTAGTAGTAACAGGTGAGTTGGTTACGGTGCTAGCTGTATTGTTAACGGTGCTCAGAAGGTTCGAGGGTGGAACGGTAATTATATGTTTGACTTGAGGCACAATTTGCTGTGCTGTAATGTTTTCCATTCCTATAGAAAACACCGATGTACAGGAAATAGCCTTATTTTGCCATTCTCGAGCGAAAATCTCACCGAATGTCATAAAAGATATTGTTTTACCCACAAAATTACAGGTACTGTTTGCTAACGTGGAATGGTTGGTACCTAGCGTTTTGGATCGGCAACAGCTAAAGCCCTCTGGTTTTATGTAGAAAGAAGTCGTAATATTTACATCCCTGAAGTTTATACTTGTCCCCAGTTCGTATGAAACATTAGTGATGACGACGCTTGTGTTATCTGGAAAAGTCCATTGGATGAGAGGGGGTTCCTTTTCCCAACATACTTCACAACGGAAGGTCCAACTACCACCTAAAGTCGTCGTTAATGATATTTTTGGAGTTGGACACGGCATTTCTGCTATCATGGCACTTGTAAAACTCTTCAGTTGGATCCCTTGAAAAACCTCTGGATAACTACATGGGGAAAGTCCCAGGTCCGATTTTGTGTGTAGACTAGCTTTCATGAACCAATCCATAGCACATGTACAGCGGATAGGATTCTGTTCTAGTTTTACTCCTGTGTCTCCGAAAAAGCCTTGTCGTTTCATCATGCCATGGTGCACAGTCGTTATATTGTTTTTAGAGAGATCAAGAACCCCTAAAAGCGGGGTATTGTCAAATGCTCCCGGTTCGATGTAGGCGATTTCATTATTGTCTAGATCGAGTTTATAGAGAAGTCTTTGTTCTCCTATGTCCGGAAACCAGTCGGCACAGATTGTCTTTAGTTTGTTACCGGTGAGACGTAATATCCGGAGACGGTATGGTCCATCAAAACTGCCTATAAGGCCAAATGACACCAAAAAAAAGTTTGTTAAAATACATACAGGTATCGAAAGTGTACATACAATATAGTCACTTGAAGTTTGTTCCAATCATGATGACTGAGAAATTGAGCTTGTACGGCCTTCTAAAAGTGACTTTTTGGAAACTATCTAGCAAGCTTCCCACTCGACCACTTCGGGCATCTCTATTTGCATCTCTATGTTTTATTTTTGCATTCCTGTGCTTTTTCCTCAGCTGACATCACTGGGTGACGTCAGCTCAGGAAAAAATACAGACATGCTCAAGCCAGCCCAAGGGCGTACCCGAGGGAGCCACCAGTATAAATATCAACCTATACATGCACGAACAGACACTTACAAATATTCCTTCTTCCCTCGCACAATCCCCCAATGGAACGCCTTGCCTGGCCCGGTAGTTATGGCTCCCACCGTTGAGTCCTTCCGGGCCAGGCTGGAGGCCTGCCCGCCTTAGACCAACGCCCCCCCCCCCCTAAAGTGCCCAAATAGGGGCTATACGGGGGTGTAGCCGGGACTCAGAGCCCCGGCAAAGATGAAGATGAAGACTTATGTTGTTTACGGCGACATCACTGACGTCAAAATGACATCATAAAATTACGTCAGACATATTTAAGATGTCGGCCATCTTAGATCGTCAATCTTTAATGTTTTAAATTAT